TAAAAGCAGGTAAAAGCAGGAGAATGGAGGAATCCTCAGAATTCCAGCACGACACGGCACAGAATAGCGGTTAGTAGGTTAATCAAAAGGCTAGTTCTTGCTTCTCAAGCCTGTTGATTTTTTTTTTTTTTTTAAAAAAAACCTCTCAAGGTCCGAGAAGCTGACCTTGGCATCAGCCTCCCCACGATGAGCAAAGCTCACGTTTTGATACGCTGAGAATCAGGATCGCATAACCCTTTATTAGAAGCATTTCACACCGCACCTGGATGCACTGAGTCACAGGAGGTCATCCCGAGAGCTAGCGACTGCCTAAGGACAACGCTACACGGACACCCTTTTCTCACAGTCTCTCTCTGTATCCCCTCGGCAGATGCCAATGAGCACAGGTCTACCCACATCTGGGTGTCTTTTCCACAGATTTTCCTTCCACCCAGTTCCATCAAAATAGTGAGGAAACTGGCCAAGGCCGACTTGTGCTTCTAGAATTGCTCAGAGGAATCGCCTAAGGCGGCCCTTCAAGCCACACTTTCATATATTAAGAAGAAATTTAGATACATTAGGTACAACAAAAGCTTTTTATTAAATAACCCAGAAGAAAGATGCTTAAAAAGAACCCTTAAGCCTCTAACCCTTACACAGATAAACTGACAGCTGAATCCACAGTCATTGAAGCCAATGGGTGACTAGGATCAGTTATGAGTACAGATTCTTCTCCACACAAAAAAAAACATTTCTCGGAGACATTAGCTAATAGATGGCAAAGAACATATGAGTAATGAAAACAAGGTAGTTTGAGGATTTTGCAAAGAAAGAGGTGCACCGCACTGGACAGCCCAGGGTATACCTCAACCCGGTATCATGTAAAACCTGTGACCGCCCGTTCTTTCTGGTGGCACTTGGCATGAACACACTCCTCAGCACCCCACTACTGGGTGAGCGGCACGATCCAGCTCCATGAAGAAACACATAGCCCTTGTAACTAAGGTTAGCTCCCCTCAACTGAGCATGTAAACATTTCCCAGTGAATCATAGCTGCATAATAAATTTTCACAAAACTGCTCTTCTTTTCTTTCTGGAAGAGAAACTTTGGAATATTTCAACAGAAACTGGAAGAGCGAAGGCTATACACAAGAGATACCTGCCTGCAAACAACCTGCTTTTACATTAAAACTACCTCTGCCAAATCCCCATGACCAAAATCGTCCATGAAAGACATTTTCCATTCCTGGACAGCCTGTCCATGTTTATCAGCACATCTTTTATCCATAATATGACATGGTTTAGATGATATTTTTAGCATGTTTTATGCAGAAGGCTTCTTAAAAGCTTCCAACATTTGGTGGTTAGTACTGGAAAAATAATCCAGTATCCAGAGAAAAACCAGCTACAATTCTCAAAGTGCCGTTTAAAAAGGAAAAATATATCACTGGTATTTCTCAAGGATTTACCATCCCAATAATTTTACTTTACAAGGTGAAGGCCCAGCAGAGGCAGCTGTGATTCTTGCAGCTTTCCGGCAGTCACATAAAAGGACAACACTAAAGAAAAGCCAGCTCCTAAACACACAAATATCATCTCGATGCTTTTCTCCAACTTCCGAGAAAACAGAGCACATTCATGTCTACAGAATTTTAATTATGGCAAAACTATCAGACAGCTCTGACTCAGGGGTCCCTCTCTATACAGTAAGAGTTACGCGCTTTTCTCACATAGGTGTTTTCAGACTATTTCAGCAGAAATGGATTCATACATATACATACGTGTTTTGCTGAACAGCACGCTGCTACAGAGCTACTTTTGAAAACCAACACATTTACGGAATATAAAAAGCTTCTTTACCTTCTGAAGCCATCAGTATCAATCAGTGTATGGTATAACAAATACTTGTCAACAAAATAAGTAGAATATTATTAATATATATTGAAAGCAGGAGCAGGGTTTAAGCATAGACCTGAGAGATCTAAACGTACCACAAAGTTTCATAAAAAAAATCAACGCTCAGCTAAGACACTGGGGCCATAATATTTACAACATAAAATTATTCTCCACTGTAAAGAACCTTCACCACACTACAGTGTTTTCAGAAGCACTATATGTAGCGTACATTCATTAAGGTCGCTTTTTAGACAACGTTTTAGCACACAGATTTAAAACTGACTTGACAGGTTTGGAACTAATATTTCTGTATTACCTAACCAGAGTAGTTTTAAGTTCGGTTCTTTAAGAAATTCTGCATTGGATTTAGTTGCAAGAAAGACTATAAACACATGAATGATTGAATGCTGGGTTACCCAGAGATGAAGTTTGAGTAATAAGAATGGTTTATTGCTACGATTTACTTAGAGATATAAATCTATCAAGTTTGCAGTCTCAAGTATACAGTAAGAAGGGACAGTGGTCTACAAACAGCCGATATAGGACTATCTCAACTAAGTCTATAAAGCTAAACTGGAATATTTATTTCCAATGCTCTAACTAGTAGTCTAATCAGTAAAGCCCTTAAACTTGCAATAATATTTCACTGATGTGTACCAGAGCGTTACAAGTTATAAAATTTCCAATTTAATTTTACGGCATCCCTCAAGCTGTAGTAATTAGAAGACAAACTCACAGGGAAGCTGTTTATAGCTTCAGGGGTGAGAATTTTGAACCTGTCCTGCAGGTCACCCATGTCCTCAGGGTTCCCAGATCTAACAGCTGCCTGCAGACCCAGGAGTTTATTGTAATACTGCAGTAACTCCGCGCTCAGATGAAGGGGGCAGATGTAGATGACGTCCACGTTGGCATCTAAAACAAAGGGGCACAATACTCGTTATCGGGAGAAAGGTAGACTCCATTCAGAACAGCAATCTGATAATTCCTGATCATTTGCTAACAAACAGCTTCCCTAAAAGAGCACCGGGAATAAAAACGAGACCTGTAATTCCCAAATCTTAGTGGTTTAACTGCTTTTTCTGTGCTTCAGCATTTCTCTGAAGACAGGTCAGCAACCCAAAGAAATAACTAGTTTTCAGAATTCAATCTGCAGAACATATTGGGGGCAGAATTTTGAAAGAGTTGCAGGGGGATTTATATGCGCGACTCACATTAACATCAATGGGAATTGTGCACTGCTTTAAAAATATATCCCATTAACTTCAGTAAATTATAAAACTGAGCTATTAAGTTTAGAAAGCTGAGGAAATTGCAATTTCATATGCTGCCTGGATTTTGCATGGCCTGTTCCTATTCTTGTCCTGTCCGCATAAAAGCTCACGGTAGGATACCATTAATAACTATTGCTGAGCATGTGAGTGTGCAGATTAGCTAGTTAAATACCACAGTGTGAAAATCTGTTTTTCTGCATGTAAAACAACTTGGGCTGAAAGACTGCTTATACACAAATGCTTAGAGGTGAGAAAGTGAGTGTCTTTAACATACACTGTTTTGGAAAATTTTAACTACTCTGCTCTTCTAAAATAATAGATGAGCTAATGAATTAATGGGCCTTGCAGCATCAATAGAATACGCTGCCAAAAAGCACTCCTTAGGAAGTCTTTCATTGTCCTTACTGGGCACAGGAACAAGAGCCCTGAAAGTGCCAGGGACAACTGCTATTGCATATGAATGGGTCGGGAGCAAAGCAAATATTGGACTAAGGAAATCCCGAGCCTAACGTTATAACGGAATAAGATATCCCACTCATTCTCTTTATTCTGCTGTAACTGCTACAGCCAGACAACCTACATTAAAAATGTAAGGCCAGAATCTCAGTTGAAGCATTTTAGTAGTACAGCATCCAACAACCAGCCCTGCATCTGAAGCACCAACAGAGCCTTTATGTAATACAGTTCACTACCACATAAGTTTTTAAAATAATTAAAAGGACAGTTCATTAGAACTGTTAGCCGGTACTCTATTGCTTTTAGGGATTTCTCAGACTTGCAAAATGAGCCTGAAAATTTACCAGCTAGGATACAAAAAGCCTACTCGCCAATATCGGCTGCAACGTTGAATGGACGGCACTGTCAAAAATAGACAAGCGCAAGTAAATGTGTTGAATAAAATGCTGCAATACATTTTACTAACCCCTAGCACTGCCCTGTAAGGAGATATACATGTCTGGTTTGGACACTGAGGCTCCGGAGACAGATTAGCTAATAGCAGGTCACAACAAGCAAGGAAATCCTCTGGTGTGCTAAAGAAAAAGAAAACCAATATGGAAAATATCAATGCTTTCCTGCCAGGCACAGGTAAAGCTGCTGATCTAGTTACTAATTTAGTTAATATTTAACTAGTTTGTATCTTACTCGTGGTCTACTTTACATTTTAACATTAGAACCAATTTTCACGTTCACAGATTTAAAGTGATAAAGAATGCCTGTATAACGTGTTGACTTTGTCCCTTTAAGTTTCTAACTATCATTTTAGAGACAAAGAAAATCATCTGTGTTAAAAAAATGAAAAAATAAAACTGTACCATGGAAAAACAATACTCGTGCTGAGATAATATATAAAGGCAATTACATTATTATTTTAGGCAACTGTAAATTTCTGGATTTAATATATTTTTGTTACAAACTTACTAAATGGCATTTATAAAATAATAATGATACTGAAATATATATGAATCATGGAAAGTATGTCATTCCATGGAGCCAATGAAGTCGGTCATTGACAAATAATATTCTTCACTGCTTTGCTTAAAAGAGGACTGTCATTCTAGGAAAAACTTTTTAATGTATGCCTTTTGCCTGTTTGCCAATTAAAAAAAAAAGTTTTAAATAAGGGCTTGCTCTTTTCTAGCACATCTTTCACTCCGTATGAGCCTGAATGAACACGAGCAGAATTAGCTACCTAATTTTGTAGAACACTAAACACTTTTGATGGTTTGTGGTGCTCAGCATGCCACAGGATGAGGCTGCTTTACCTTATCACGGAGTTGGAAAGAATCAGTATGTTCTTCTCATGAATAATGTGGACAAGAGCAAATGCCACAGCAGATAAATTACTTCTGAGCTTATTACGTTCTCTATATTTAATGTTAATGCAAAAAGAATCAGTCATTCTCTATTACTCACAACTATGGGCAAATAACGATCAAAAAATAGGCAGCCAACAGCTCATAACATACCCAGTATGTCACACAGCCTTCCCATCTGCATATTCTGTTGGAGAGCAAGATCAGGAACATGCTCACGGATGCATTGGGAATATCCTGGAAAACAAGTAAAGCCCCTCACAAACTGTATGCAGGAACCCCCTGGTACCTATTTGAAAGAAATCAGACTTTCAGATTAAAAGCAGCTGTAACAAAAGCATTGTAAATCCCAAACACGGTATAGCACTAAGTGGATCATCTTTATGAATTTACTTTTAATAGTGAACTGATGTAATATCATGTTTTTATGTCATGAGATTTTAAATACAGACCTAAATGTTACAGACGTATAGAGCTTTGTAATTTAAACACCCAGACTATTTTGAGTCGTCTATATTGCTGGATTTTTTTTTTTAAACACTGAAAAAAATGACACCATCATTAAGCAAGATTCCTGGTACGTTTTGTCCTTCACACAGATAAAAGGCAACAAAATCACTTCATTAAGGAGATGTCTCAGCGATACCTGATCACTTTGTTGCAGAGGATGCATGACTGGCAGCCTGTCTGAGCGTGGATTATCTATTTGGAGGTCAGACTTCCAACTGATTGCAGACTGGCATGCAAAAAGACTGCAGGAAATGACATGACCACTCTAACTATAATCTCTAATCCTGTCATTTTTACATTCAGTTAATTCTAAATTAATCAGCATGCATATACAAACACACACCACCACACAATGTGGGTTGATAGCTGTGATTAAATCAATAAGGAAGTTCAGCCTAACATTCAGTGTCCGGCATAAAATCTTGATGGATCCAGTAACAAGATCCTTACAACATTTCCACAGATCTGCACATGGCTGATCATCTGAAACATATGAAAAACTTAAGTTTGACTAAAATCTGCTCAGTATTTCAGTGCTTTCATTTTGGAAGACAGTAATAGAGGATCTTCCAGGCAAATTACAAGGACAATTATTATAAGTAATCAGCATTCTAAGGTGCTGTGGCAATGTCACTTTGCACACAGGAGGGCAGAACATAATCAAAGAAATGGAAACCACCAGTTTCATTTTTTGTAATTTTGTGTAAAACTACAAAGAAATGGAAATCACCAGTTTCATTTTTTGTAATTTTGTGTAAAACTTAGATATTGTAGTTAGCACAATGGTACCAGGCACCTGCAGAACTACATAAATGCAAAAGATACAGATTTTCTTTGCCACTCTAATATTAAGCTACAGTAACTTGAAAAAGCTTGCTCTGATTACTTAACTTTATCTCGAGGCTTCATTTTGTTCTCTCAGGTGAAGATCAATTTTAAGCCACTAATAATGCTGCCTAACAATTCCAAAACATTCCAATGTCCAATGTAGGAAGTAGCTGATTTCCTTACACTAAACTGTCCTCTTGAAAACACGTTTCTTTTTAAAAACTAAATCTGGACAGAAAAATAACGTGCAAATATCACTTGGAAAATCAGTAATTATTTGGAAGGAATAATAGTTAAAGTAGCCATCAAACAAAAGTTAAAACTTGCATGTTGCTATGGTTCTGCAGATACAGCATAGCATTATACCAACTACCACATGTAGATATGTTTTATTAAGATATTAATTAACAATATATTAGCTTCCATTGACATGACCCCATTAGATTTAGCGCGAGGAATATTCCCTCCTTGTGAATATTCACCTTCCAATGGACATCATGAACCACATTAATCCTCGCGCCCGATACGTTTTGAACTCTCTGTGCTTACAGGGCTGGTCATCTCACACTGCCTATTACAGGCAGAGGCGTAATATTCCTTTCCTTGCAGTTTAAACAAAACGCAACCCAAATGAATTACATATACTGTGATCATAGCCTACGTGTTCCAGTACAACTATAACCTGTGCCATCATTCCTGTTTTATTATGTACAGCTGGTTTATGTATCACTAACATTTTGTGCTACAGCATTTGGTCTCAAACGCATGAAACATTTTGGAGAAATTTGCATTTGCCAGAAGCCAAAGCTCCTATTTTGATTCAAAGAACCACTACTTTCGCTGAGCTATACCTGCAATCTGGGTAAGTTAAACTCCAAATGGTGACTGAAAATAGTGATGTTGACAAAAGGCAGCGGTGGCAGAGCACTTGAGGATGTGGTTGTTCATTTGCAGGAGGCATCAGTGCATCATGGCACCCCACTGGTGGAGCTGGTCTGCAGGAGGGTCGACCTTGCAAAGCGAGAACTAAAATTTTGATTTCTCACTTCAGTGGCACTGAAAGGGCACGGAGGGCCTTCCTCCTTCACGAGAGTTTTACGATAGCATACGTGCAATGGCTTCAGTGGAATGTTCCCAGTTCACACGGGGGTAAGCGTAGGGAGAGTTATAGAAGTACTAAAATAAAGGGTGTATGAATTAATGGTAGAGGGCCTCCTTTCACCTCCCTTTTCAGCCTCAGCCATGACCTAATGCCCTTTAACTGCCATTTTCTTAATAAATTTTGCACATCTCAAAGTGTTCTCTCAACAAGGAACCTGCAACACTTTTCAAACTCGCCTTTGGAAAAAGCAGGAGCAGTACAGAGCGGGAGGTGGATGACAGTTTCAGTAACCACAGGGCGATGGCTGGAGGGGAAGGAGGAAAAAGAGCTACATAGGATTCAGCCACCTTGTGCTTCCCAGTGCTTGGGACAGGTCTAATAAATAATACCTAACTTTTCTCACCGTACTTGGCACACCTACTGTTCAGCTGAAACTGCTTTTAAAAAGGATTCGTGTTATCACACATGAGGAAGCTTTGATAAATATACAATAGGTTATATAAGGTGACAAATTTTATATAGTGTAAAGGTAACTATTTGGGTAGAAAGACCGATGAATCATTTAAAAATTGTTCAATGAAAAACAATATTTTGAATCCCAAATACTGCAGAAGGGTTTTCGTCCATTAGAGTGCAGGAATACACCTGATTAGAAAGTTCAAATTCAATTTTCCTTACACTAGCTGACAAAAATGCTAAACAATCTTTAAGCAATGGATTCTACTTTCTGTTTTTAGCTCTACTAGAAATCCAAAGGGTTTTTTTTTTGTTTGGTGAAATAAATGGAAACATTTGTCCTCACAGCAGTGTAATTTAAGCCCTTCACTATCCCTTTTCCTGGATTATTTCCAGAAACTTGACATGAGTCTGAAACTGTTGTGAAAATGAAGACTGCTGAGAAATTCACAGCTACGACTACCTCCATTTACTGGAATTCCACTTGCATGGGAAGAAAAAATCAGACCCTGACTTGCCCTAAATACTGAAGTCAAGGAAATGTGAGTAGAGAATTTCAGGCTCTATTTTTGATTGACAAAACTGAGGAGAGAAACCACTAGCAGAGTATTGTCAAACTTCTGTTGCTTTGTGTTTATCTGCTCTGTTCCCATTCTTGTAATTTAGACATATTTTTATGATTACCCAGACTCAGGCCTTAAAAAAAAAAAACCCTGCTGAAATCAGCTGTCATTTTGTATATTTAGTCCTCTTAGACTGAAACAAATGCTACTTGTTTAAATTGCCTAGGTTCCTAGAAGTCTACTCAAACAGACTTCTTAATTGTAACATTCCACAGGGCTAAAGAAAAGAAGGCAAAATATTTCAGGGTATTTAGCCGTTCCTTTCCAAACCAAATATTACAAGACATGGCAAATCAAAAGCGTAACTGGGAAATACCTGAGAACAATGGTACGAGCCGGAAGCATTCCAGTAAGGGGTCCAAAATTTTGCAAGTGTCTTTTAAAATGTGTAGGAGCAGAATAATAAAACATGTAAAATTATTTCTGTTCTTACATATAAAAGGTTTTTAGTGGAAAGACTTTGTGTTTTCGTCTTTTAAATTTTAAATTTTAAATATAAGCTATTCGTAAAATTATAGAAAACCAAATTTGGTCAATTCCTTAGTCATTTTACGTTCATGTTTCTCAAAACCAGTTTGATCTTAACATTTCAAAAGAAAAAAATGCCATGTGCTTGCATTACATTTCAATAAGCTAAATGCTTATCATTATTTAACACACAAAACCCCTATGGAACTCTCAATACAGTCAAACTTAGCAAAAACAAGCACGAACAACTTTTTCAAACAGCACTTTCAAATCCCTCCTTTGGAGGGCACAATATATTTTTCCATGCTCTACTTAAATAGGTTTCCTAATTTTCTAAGAAAACATCTGCACTCAAATTATCTTACTTTCTTCCTCATTAAGGGAAAATTTCCACTTGAATACTGCAGCCTCCTACGCATGCATATACAAGTTCTCGTATTTACAGCAGAATGTGGTATAAAGTGTGTTACAGAATCAGGGCCCAGGCTCCAGGTGAAGTGCTAAATTAAGTGGAATTTCCCTCGAGTTTAGAATTTACTTAAGAGGTTGAAATATTTTAAAAACTTTTATAAATTCCCCTGTATATTACAAATTCATCAGGAGCAGAGGAACAGGGACATAATGATTATGTTAGCCTGTTTTGATTATACTGAGATTTTTTTAAATACAACTTTGAAAGCATCTGTTCTACAACAATTCTGCTGACTTCTAAATTCACGCACCTAATTAGTAATTGCTTTTTCCTCTATAAATGCTCTCCTTCACATTTTAACTTAATTCCTACACTGGAATGTATAAATTATTTTTAAATGATCCTGATTTAAAATAGGACTCAGTCACGTGATTTAACCTAGCATATTCACAGAAGACTGAGACAGAGGTGTAATTAAAACCAGTTGTTCATCAAATGTATATTTATGTTAAACATAGTCAGCAGAATCATGAAATAAAAGTCTACCTGGGCTCCAAAACTGAGAGCTTAAAACTTATTTACAGTCTTCATTAATTCAGGTCTTAACCAATTCACTTTACGAAATCCTGAATCTCTCAGGTCAATTAATTTGCTATGTAAGTACAAAAAAATAAATCAAGTTACACGCATTTTGACAGGATTTCATGTTTTAAGAGATTACCGGTGCATTTTAGAAATTCCCAGGAAATCATATTCTGTAATTTCTAAACACCTACACTTTGCCATTGCATTGCAGAAAACAGCTTTTAAGCTCCCCAATTCATAAATGTAATTAAATAATTACATTAGTGCTAATTAACATGAAACTGCAGATTATTTAAGCGCAAAAAACACTATTCAACTTCTTAATTATTCTTGTTCACACAGCATTTCCTTTTGCTCAGGCGCCCTAGGTGCAAATAAAGCATCCCATCTGCTCGTAATTAGAACTAAATAATTTCAGAGAATGTAGCTTATCATTTTGACTGCACATTTGATTAAAAACAGTGTACAAGCAATATCCTGGCTTATTGCTGTAACAGCAACAACACACACAGGCCCATGTTTTCCTATCATTAAAGAAGACTGAAAACATTATCTGTTATTTCAGGGGGAAAAATACAACTTTTTAGTTCATTTCATACAGATGAAAGCAAATTACAGCAAATCACCTCTCCACTGAATAGCGGCCCCCACATAATGACTTTATTTGCTTAATCCCCAAATTAAACGCCGTTTCGAGCGAAGGCCCTGTGTTATTACTCTCATCATGTCGAGAACATTTTCCTGCCGAGACCAATTTGAATAAAACAAGGGGCCTTCCTTGAACTCAATCAAGGAGTCATAATGTGGTGGGTAATAGAGGTTGCTGATAGATTTGCAGGCAAAAGTGTTATACCTAATGATGGGATATGGATAATAGTCCTCCTGGAGGTCCTGATGCGATTCCAGTTGGCTGCCAGATGCTAAAAATCAAGAAGAGCATTGATCAGTGACAGGAAGCTGTAGTGGATTCATCTAGTCAAACTTCAGCTGTTTTTCCACTGTACAGTTAAGCCAGGCATAAATTATATTAATTGATTTAATTACATACTTAAAACATCTTCCCCAATTAATTTAATTAGGTGGCTACATGAAGCTACTGGCAGGGGAAGATTAGAGGCTGCTCACTTAATTAACAGAATATGAATGAAAAAAAGAGAAAGCAAACATAAATGAAATTGTGAGCACTAATTAAGAGGCTGTCTGCAAACTTAAATACTTTCTGACAAAGTGGTGACAGGAATGTAGACAAGAGAGGGATTTTTTTTTTCAGCAAATTAAGTGCCACAAGGTATATATAGGGAACTAAGGTAATGCAGTTAAAACATTGATTTTCTGACAGAACTACTGAAGTCAAAGTGAAGGGACATTTTCAATAGAAACACTGCAACAGATTTTGCAGCCACAAAGGCTGAATCGCTGATGAAGGATGAAATATGATACTCGGACAAGTGTATGGTTAAAGGGGAAAAAAATGGAAACAGCTTATTGCAATCACTGAAGCAAGAGATGTTTAGAAAAGAAGTGCTGCCGTAACAGCTGGTAGCACTGCACACCTTGGCCCTGATGTAAAAATTCTCCAGGTGTCTCTGACGTGATTCCTTCAGGGTCTTTTTCACACGTGCCATGTGATTATGCAAGAGCCAAGAAACAGCGATCACACCTGATGCCCACTGCTGCTGCCTGAGGTGGACATAGGCTTTTCTGGCCCGGTAACATCGCCATGTTGCTTGGATCTTTGTAGCAGCCATTTCGGTACCCCCTTGGCCTTTGTATCTTTGGCCAGGTCGATTTAAGATCTTTTCCACAGTTGACTGATTCTTTATCACTGACAGAACATCACTTTTGGTGGGATTGTTGTTAAGCTCAAAGTCTGATGCAACTTCTGCCAACTTTTTACAGCTTATTGTAGCCAACGGTACAGCATAGTCCTTGAGAAGCTTTTCTGTACGTTCCAAAAAAAGGACAATGCTCTCCCAGGATAAACAATAACGCTGCTTGAATGCCAGAAAGCCTGGAGCTTTCTGGTCTATTGTGCCATGGTAAGCAGCAATGTCGCAATCAAAGCACGGATCCTGTAAGGACTGACATGGAGACATTTGCAGGGGCTGCGGGAAGAGAACAGCCACAGATTAAGAGTAATTGCCACTGACTGTAAATGAGTGGTCGAGACACACTACTGTATTACTGTTTACCACTGAACTGTGTGAATTTATGCATCTAAATACACTCCTCATTATGACTGATACATCAGAACCACAAAGTCTAGCTCATCTTTACCAAAAAACCCATTCCCACACACGAAGACCTCAGAGGTCATGCAAGATTATGAGCATTTTTAACAGAAATGCATTAATTGCACAGAGGAACTATGCTTGATTTACCAAACATAAAAATTAAGCTCTAGAGTGATGCACCGGACTACAAGCAGAAAGTAACTGCAATAGCATTCTTCCACTGAGACTGCTTCCACCTGTCCCAGGAGAACGGGTAACATCCTGCCATATAAACGCAAACAGGGTAAAATTTGGGAATAGAAATGTTCCTGCCTCTTAACAAAACTCCGTATTTACTGGCACCTTTAGCCGGCAACTCATCAGCTCTGCTTTTCAATCCAAGTGCACTATTTTCAAACTATTTGGGGGTAATTATTTTTATTTACATTAATAACTCATTGATCTCCATTTCTTGAAAGGTTTGCTTTGGTTTTGATTTTTCAGATTTCCTCTTTCATTTTCAGATCTCCTCAACGGCACAGAAGTCAGAGTCTGGAAAGATCAAGCAAAAGTCCAGACAGTTTGCTATGGGACCCAATAATTAGCCATAAACAGAAAGAAACGTCCCTTTTGCATGGGGATCAAGAACAATCAGCAAGCATTAAGCAGTCAAGGTCAAACTCCCCTATAGTCTTCTGTAAATATAAAGGGAAACACTACATTTGCTTAACTGCAGTGAGGGAGATTTAGATGAAACATTAAAAAACTCTTTTATAACAGTAAAGATAGTTAGTTAAGCACTGGAACAGATGGCCTACAGAGACTGTGGAGTTGCTATCACCGAAAGTTTTCAGAACAGGTTAGAAAAACATCTGTCTTCAATATTACAGGTTCAGGTAGTTCTGCCTGGAGGTCTAGATAACCTCCTAACACCCTTTCTAGACTTATTTTCTAAGATTCTGTGAAAAAGCAGACAAATTTAGGTAGAAAACTTGAGAAAATAGAAACTGGCAACATACAAAGTATTTCCTACTTACTTCACTATTTACTAGCTTTGGTTCAAACCCTCCTGTACCAATTCAGTGATTTGCAGTCACTTCCTAAACTATCTCTGGTCAAGACAATATTAAAAACGTGAATAAAAACCTCATTATCCTCACTATGTAAATACCTGTGTCTGAAAGGTAATCTGCAGCTCAGATTCCAACTGTTGAGCTGGATACCTCCACGCCGACTTTGATTTCCTTGCTGAAACCACGGAGCTGCTGGTTGGAAGTGGTGCAATGTTACCTTTACTAGAGGAATTTATGCCATAAATTGCTTCCTTTGAGTTTGGGAAGGTGCTGGTGTTTGCACTCTCAGGGTCCACCCTACTACTAATCTCTCCTGTACCAAAGAAAAAAATTGATCACAGGTTTCATTGTTAGAGGAAATGCAACATCGGCATCAAAACGATACTCTACCACCTACCGTTAGGTACTGGCATGCTCCAGTTTGCTCTCATGTCCAAGTGGGTTGCAATTTTCAGTTTTAATCTATAATGTTCTAAAGTTTGTAATATGCCAGCTAACGGTATACCCAGGATAACAATCTTTAAATATTACCACTTATATTCCAGGTTATTCCATATATAATTTTAGTTTTCAATCCCCGCTTTTCATTAGGAGAACTTTTCAAATTTATGGGATTGCTATGGAGCCCACTGCTCATTTTGCTTACGCTCCTTTCCATACTGATGTCACATGCCACAAGCAGCTGTAGCAACAACAGTTTGGATACACTTTGTGATAGATCAGAATCCCACTGCCCAGAACATACTCGCTTATTAGGGAGTCATTCATTTAACCACACTGGCAAATAGATGCTTGATCAGCTGTTTTAAGTCATGACTTAGAGTAGCACTAGCTTTACACTAATATCAATGGTCAGATCTTCCGGTTCAGGTGCTTAGAATTTGAAACATGCAGGTAGGAACCTACCAGGGTTTCAGAAATGAAGAGGAACCAAATCCTCACAGGGATTAAGAAATCTGATTCCCATTCAGTTGCAAGACACAGGATACTCACGTACATCTTTATGCACTTAGTATTCTTAAGAATTGGAGTGAGTGCTCATTATGCAGCCGTTTTCTTGTGAGATAAAACAAGGGCCTGAAAGTGAACTTGGAGATGCACTTGATGGTTGTTATCAATCCTTTGCACTCACCTACAGTTGACTTCTTGTGCTGTCTGTGAAATTCATGGAAAGGCGCTGCTTTGGATACAACAGGAGGTATCTGGAGAGTTATCTTTACTGCTGGAGGGATAAGCCTTTGTTCAGTTAGGCTCAGAACACCTACAAGAAGATGACATTACTGAACAATTCATATACATTCCAGCTACGAAAGCATTAGTAACAACAAAGAAGGAATTAAACAAAGGCAGACTCAGGTCCTTCCAATTCCAAATCAAAACTAGAAAAGCAGCAGTTTTCTTATCTTTCAATATTTTACCTTCAAAGAAGGTGAACTTTGTCTATAAAAATTGACAAATACATGAAACACGTAGTAATGGTGCTGATTCTGAGAAGGAATTATGTGCTTGTACAATGGCAATTTAATACACAGAATGGATGAGAATTAACTCTTGTAAATCACAACGTAATCATGAATACGGACAGATCGCTATAGTAGTCCAAGTGTAGATCTAGTTAAGATTGAATGATTAAGAACCAGACATTAATCATGACTGTTTGACTATGTTATTTAGTCATACAAGAGCCCTCCATCACACACAATTCTTCTTTCCAGTAGCAACTGAACTCTGTGAATTACAAAATAACTGACTCGGACAGGATAATGCTCAACATAACATATGCTATGCCCTAAGTTAGCTACCACATGGAGTAAGTAGTCCGAAGTTCATCTCTACCCTTTGCAACATTTGAGATCACAATTCTTACAAGTTTTGAGGTGCCAATTTGATTACCAGATACCTGCTGCATATAGCAAACAATTCTGCTGAGGCAGCACACATCTGGTGGCAACAGTACCCAGGTGGGCTCCTGTGACTCACCTTTTGTTACATCTTCTTCCAACAGGGGTAAGGGAGAATCCACGTGGTGAGAGGCAGGCAAACCCCAAAGGCTGCTAACTGTATGACCTTTCATTATCTTCTGACCACGCATCTAGGAAGAGACAGAATCCTCTTTTAACAAAGAAATCCTGGATTTAAAAGACATACTTTCCTACTCCCACAATAATAAATAATAAATATAATTTTTGCTATGGATCATTTCATTAAGATTTAATAATGTAACAGTGCAAGCACTGCTTTTACTACTTATGAACATGCCACAGTATTATCTACTGTCATTACTTTAGTAATTTAAAATAAAGTTAATTAAATCCAATTGATGTCTTGTGACTTCTGCTATGCAAAAATCAGTGTACTAGTTAATAAAGGAATCACAAGAAGTTTGCTCAATTTTAATGAGTATAGTGTAAACAGTATTTCTTGACAGAACACTAAATAAGTAAGTATTTTCATATATATATAATATAAATACACAGGTGTTGTGGTTTAACCCCAGCCAGCAACTAAGCACCACACAGCCACTCACTCACTCCCCCCCAGTGGGAGGGGAGAGAGAATCGGAAGGGTAAAACTGAGAAAACTCATGGGTTGCGACAAGAACAGTTTAATAATTGAGATTAAATAAAATAATAAATATAATAGCAATAATAAAAAATTGTAATGAAAAGGGAAACAAGCAAAGAGACAGAGGAACAAACCCCAGGAAAAACAAGTGATGCAACCCGCTCACCACCCGCTGACTGATGCACAGCCCGTCCTGAGCAGTGATCCCCGTCCCCCAGCCAACTCCCCCCAGTTTATATACTGGGCATGATGTCATATGGTATGGAACACCCCTTGAGCCAGTTGGGGTCAGCTGCCCTGGCTGTGCCCCAATAATAAATATAATAGCAATAATAAAAAATTGTAATGAAAAGGGAAACAAGCAAAGAGACAGAGGAACAAACCCCAGGAAAAACAAGTGATGCAACCCGCTCACCACCCGCTGACTGATGCACAGCCCGTCCTGAGCAGTGATCCCCGTCCCCCAGCCAACTCCCCCCAGTTTATATACTGGGCATGATGTCATATGGTATGGAACACCCCTTGAGCCAGTTGGGGTCAGCTGCCCTGGCTGTGCCCCCTCCCAGCTTCTTGTGCACCTCCTTCCTGGCAGAGCATGGGAAGCCGAAAAGTCCTTGACTTAGTACAAACAGTGCTTAGGCAACAACTGAACCAGCAGTGTGTTATCACATTATTCTCATGCTAAATCCAAACCACAGCACTATGCCAGCTACCAGAAAGAAAATTAACTCTACCCCAGCCAAAACCAGGACAACAGGCAAGGTACGAGAAAGAAAAGGAAATACTTTTAATTATGTAAATAAATTCTTCCTAGGAAGAATACCAGTGGAATTAAAATATGTGGAACTACTCATAAATCAGGGAACAGTATCACAGACTTCCGGAGTTTCAGGGTTCCTCAAGGACAGCAGGGAATGACACAGCCTGATAATGTGATGTGGAAACAAGTGCCACACTGGCTGTGCTAATATGGGGATTAAAGCTCCCTTACTTCCCCAATTAACCTGTGCTTGCCGGAAAAAAATGGAACCTGCTGGTTCTAAGTGCCAGGAATTCAAGCAGTGACACACATCACTTTGCGATAGTGATATCGTGCGTCTTACTGTTACGCTTATTATCGCGCATATAGAGCGTTGCACAGGGAAAAGAATATATTGCCACCTTATACTTCCAAATTATAAATACAAAACCCCTGTGTTATCATCTATCATTTTTTTCTCTCTCCAATATGCTAAGTATCTTCAGTTTCTTTCTGACTAGGAATACACAAACTATTCCATTTGCAATGTGGGCTGTACTCAACTCCTAAAGAAACAGAGCACGAGATATTCAGTGGGTTTAAAGCATTACAGCACGTGCAACTTCAAGGAAAGTAATATCACCGAGATCTCTCACGTGATGATAGTGAACCACCACCAGCAGATTATATTGTTCCCTCTCACCTGGCTGATGCTAGAAAAATGAGAATGATAAACCTAGAGAGACATGAAAGATTCAGCTTAAACTCAAATGTTTTATGAAGCAAAAGGAAAATTTAACATTAGTCTACGAAACCTTACTCTGTCAACAGATTTTCTTAAAATCTAGACAAAGGTTTCTTAGCTTTAGCAGCTAAACTACCTAGAGACCATATGTGCTCTAATATAGGCTGCCCAGAACTTCCTCTGCAACTTGAGAGGTTCTCCAGTGACTTTCATGCTGGGTCGAGGCAAGACAAGAAGGAAGCGACTAAATTTGAATGAATAGGGTAAATAAGTGCCAACACACAGGTGTGAATACGTTATCAATCTCAAGAAGATGAAAGGTAGTTGGAGGGGCATACGGCCCTTTGAGCAAACAGGAAAGCCAGCAGGCAGATTGGACAAAGGAAAGACCTGGGGGCAGCAGGGTTAGGAAAGAACATAGCGACAGGCTGGACAGAGCCTGGCAGAGAATCGGGCAGAGAAGGCTGGGATATATTCTGGAAACAGACTCAGGAGACAACTGCAAGGAACAGAGAGACTGGGGCAAGATAAAAATGGGAAAAGGGGAAACTGAGGGAAAAGGAAGCAACCAGCTTTGTATGCAATGGGGCACATCTCCCTCACAATTCACAGCGGACCTCAAGATCCCACAAGTCTCATCTTCAGTCAGCAAATAGCTGTGAAGCCAAATAGAAAAAGTCCCATGCTTTTGTAGGCAAGAACCTGTTAGCAGCTACTCCACTAGTCTAATGATTAGAAATTCTTACATTGGATAGAAATGTTTGAACCTTACTGATAAGCGCTATATGGAAAACAACCTAATGACATGTGCTGGAAATGTTTTTATTTGCTTTTTAAAAAATTATTTCACTATCATTGATAAACTACCCTAAAATAATATTAAATACGTAAGATCACAAAGCTAGGAAAGATTGATAGATCCGCAAAATGGAAATAATGGTATTTACCTCTTTTATAGAGCACATTGGGACTTCCTGGTTTAAAATACTAGGTTTTAATGACTGATTATCATGCTTGCGTACAGCTTTTAGTACAATAGGATCCAGGCCATGACTGGGATCTTTGAGCACTGCTGTGTCATAATTAGTGAATAACATCAACCATCAACTTTATAGAAAGGGATAGGCAATTCTAAAGGACTGCTTATAAACCTAACAGGAAAATGAGATAGATCAAAATAAACTGTTGTAATTTTTCCTCCCAATTTGTATAACAACACTGTCCACAAGAGACATTAGGGATAGAAAATATAAATGCTTTATCATAATAGAAATCTTTCAGGCACTCATTTTAGTTGTGGCCATTATGAAGCATTATGCTTTAAGGGATATAGATGTATGAATCTTCATGCCCTTGTGTTCCAAGAAAATAGCAATAAGCATATAACAAAGATTAACTTTATACCAGCTGGCATATAAGTGGCTTGATACTGAGAAAAGGAAATAATAAACCACACTTTTCTACTCACTCTCAGCCCCAGCAGTTTGTTGAGGACACAAAAATATATAAAAAGAAAGAAATTTAATTAAACAGTGACTCCTTTTCTAGGCTATTGTTACAGTATCAGCAAAGAGGCACTGATTTTGCTATTGGTCACTTTTATCCCAGTTTAAATCCCAGGAGTTTTGTTATGATAAACAGCACCATGAAACATAGGTATTTCATTTGTGTTCAGAGATGTAATAAGCTACAAAGAAAAGCAATTAAGGTGGAGTGTTTGAGTTCAAAAGCAGCCCAGAGGCTTTTGAATTTTTTTTTTTTAACCAGATATAGATATTTAATTCTTCTTTGCTGTATCCTTTAATTTCTATAAAGTCCATGGCAGGTGTCACATTAAAATAAGGACAGATGCAGCTGCAATGTAATTTAAGCTCTCATTTACACTGCACAGTGCCACTATGATGCACTTCATTACATAGTACAGGCAACATAGCAGAACTACGGAGCTCACCCAAAACCAGTCACCTACGAAAATTCCACCCAATCTGTACACCCTTCTTCTGTGTTCTTCCAGCATCCCATTAGACACATTAGCTGCCCTCTTGAAGACTTCAGTGAGGTACCAAAGAAAAATTTTGCTTTCATCCTTCAGTTATTTTCACTAAAATTAAGCCAACTCAATTACAACAGTAAGACCTTAAAAATAATAAAAATATTAAGTACTCCAAGAAAAAGGTTTACTTTTAGCATCATGATAAAGTTTTATTACCATTACTCAGTGATTTAACTTAAAAAGATATTTAAAAGGTTCCATCTTTTTAAAAGGTTTTCAACAGACTTCCATCTGCGTATGCCAGCACAATTTAAAACCTTAACTCACACCTACAGCTTCCATGACCCTTTCAGTGATGAAAGTGAACCCTTTTAACCTGATAACTCTTTTCAGTGAAGAAAGTTTTTCTAATAGATTAGATATTAGGAAAAATTTCTTCACTGAAAGGGTTATCAGGCACTGGAACAGGCTGTAGGCAGACAAGGTGCTTAGAGACACAGTTTAGTAGTGGACAGGTACGGTTGGGCTCGATGATCTTAAAGCTCTTTTCCAACCAAATGATTCTATGATTTATGGCACAAACACAAAACCTAGTGAATTTAACAGCATGTATTCCAAAACCGGCAGCTCCTAACTTGCATTTTTACGTTTGTAGGGTAGGCAGGCCCCAAGCAGCACAGAAGCAAAGGATCACACCCTATGCAACGCTAACCTATATGTACCTCACCTCTGGCAGAACCCACACAACCCTTACTGCTACAAGGCCCTTGGAACCTTTAAACATTTTCCTGCATGAATAATGTCTCCTAGTGAAGTTTGTTATGAAGATTACGATTCAGCAAGTATACTTTACTGAAGCCAGCACACAGCCTGCTTCATCACGGGTACTTTTAAAGTACAGTTTTAGAGGGCTGGAAGGGAACACTTTAATTTGCAGTGCAGGCTGAGGCTTACTTGCCTGATAATATGCTTGGAGTGTGCTGAAAAACTATTTTTTCATTTCAAGCACTTCTGAGTGTAATTAACCTGGGACATGAGAAAAACAATTCT